GAATTCTTACATTCTAAAAAGAATATTTTCTGGCTTTAAATAACCTGCTATGCGTTGATAAGCCGTAAAAAAAACAAAGCAATAAAAAATCTGTTTAATATAAATGCTTTTAATATAAATGCTTTTAATCACAAAGAACTATACAAGAAAACGAAAACCTCATGAGATGAGGACTACCAACAGCGGCAACTACTAAAATGGATAGCCATTTCAACTTGACGTAATCATGAAGTTGACGTTCCACACTACCTCAAACAAAAATCTAGGAAGGAAACGCCTCATCAATAACGGAAAGAGCAATAACAGCTACTTATTTTAAGATATTTTTTGTAAATTACAACGTGTAGTAGTAGTGACTACTCAGTCAATAAATACCAAACCTTTCCTTATATAGAAACTGTTAATATAAACATTAACATTATCATTTAAAATTCAACAAAATTCATCTGCAATCTTTTCCATCAGTAAATATTCACTCCTTTAAACTCGTCTCCGTCTAGACAGAAGGAGAAACGTTAGATATAACTACTTTTTTTCTTTTAATACATGAGTCTTGTCTTTTATGGAATTGGTAAGAGCGATTGCAAAACCGTTGTTCAAGAGGGAAATACAGAAATATAAATATAAATAGGTAAAGTTATGAAACCGGAGCTCCTTCTGGTTTCTGCATCTTTTCCTGCATCCGCTGTGATGAAAACTGAAAAATAAACTGCTTGTTTCGGAGCAGTCTCGCCTTTTCTGAAAGTGATGTGGGAATAACCTTATCGTCCCCAAAGCAACGCCATGATGAAAAAAAACAGAAATATATATCGGTTATAATTTGTTTGAAGAACTAGCAATTAGGTAAAAGAGAAAATAATTCAATAGTCTCAGTGAATTGCGACGAATTTAGTTTCAAATGAACTGAACGGCTTTATTGTGTACAAAACGAAAGCGAAAGTGAAAGAGAAAGTAGAAAGACGCTGAATTAATGGGAGAGATATTTTATGATCAGCAGAAAGAGATTCGACGAAGAGTTAATTGTTAATTGCTATTCTTGTCAAAGACAGAGATATGAATAACTCTATGGGCTTTTATACACACACACACACACACACACAATATATATATATATATATATATATATATATATATATATATATATATATATATATATATAGGAAGGCTAGATAAAACAGACCTAGATCGTTATGAATATATTGGGAGACTTAGAAAGACTAATATTAATTAATTTAGATATAAACAAAAAATTAAGATAGGTATAAAACGATTGAGATGAAGAAACCGAGATATAGAGGCACAAAAAGATAGATAGATAGATAGATAGATAGATAGATAGATAGATAGATAGATAGATAGATAGCGTGAGAGAGAGAGGGAGGAGGGAGGAAATCCCTGCAACAGATAGATGCCAAAAGACATACCTGGATAGATATGAAGAGACTGACGTAGATACATAGATAGATAGATTGAATTAATTTAATAGATCTATTAAAGTAATTTTATTTCTGTGATTAAATTTCGTACCTACGAAAATATATATATATGTTTGTATGTATGTATGCATGTATGTATGTATTTAGAAGCAATGTCAATCGATACGTTCTGTTTTCTTAATTATTGTCCTCTCTTCTTAATAGTAATTTTTCTCATATTCTCTAACGTTCAGTAACCCTTGCATCTTAGGGGCTATATTGCCTTTGGTCTTCAAAAATTGAAATGCAATGTCAATCAATAACTTACCATAAGTAATAAACGAAGATGACATGTTCATCTCATTTAAACTTCTTTTTTAATTTTTGTTCTTTTATTGTCCTCTCTCTTTAAGAGTAATTTTTTCTCACAATATCTAACATTCAGTAACCCCTTGCATCTTAGTGGCTTTATTGCTTTTGATCTTCAAAAATTGAAGTCAATCATTATCTTCTGTCTTGTTAATTCTTGCTCTTTTATTGTTCTCGCCATTTAATAATTTTTTTTCATATATATTCATAGTAAGTAACCCTCCACGTTTTAGTGACTTTCTTGCCTTGATTGGGTGGAAATGATTAAGTAAATACCTTTACCATTAGGAATGCCTTTCAAAAGTCTTACCATACGTTCATTATGACATTGGTCAGGACTACATTCAATTTCCCACCGAATATGTAGACGTTTAATGATTTTTCCTTCTCCGTGCGTTAAAATTTCAGGGCATAGAGGTTACTGTCCAGTATTCAATATTTTTACATAATTTTAAAACGAATCAAAAAAAGTCGGGAAATTTGTTATCCACTGCGAAATATGATTCATTTTTTTCAAAAACTTTTTTAATATGTCACATTTTGTTACCAATAAGAACATTATCGTCTTGAAGAGGGGTTCAACAGAGATGACAGAGGGTTATTTACATCACGCAAAAGGTTGTGTATGAGCTTTGAAACGTGGACGTCTGTTGTATTTGTTTAACGTTTTATAATTACACAATTTATACTTCAGAGAACAAAGTCTCTGTTTAAACTTATTTGCACCTTTGACCTCATCAATCAATTTGTCTTTCACCACATGACAGGTTGTCTTCTTTTTTGTTTTTCTCTCCAATGTCTGCATCATTGTCATCAAACGTGTCTATAGATATTTTACCTAAAAATTTCAGTTTTATAATATATATATATATATATATATATATATATATATATATATATATATAAGAAATATAGTTTTAAAGTGTGCTTATATTTATATGGATAAAAATTTTATATGATTTTAGAGATTTAAATATAACAGTGAACATTGAAGTAAAATTGTAGTCTGTTTCATGCTTTATGCAGACAATTGTTTAGCATGAAACAGCCTAGCGTTTATATATATATATATATATATATATATATATATATATATATATATATATATATACTAATTGATAGAGCCCGGCGTTGCCAGGGGTGTAATTAATATAAAGATAGAAAATAGTCGACCATCATAAAGACTGAAAAATAAAATTGAATCAAAGATTATTGTTTAATGTTGACAGACATGTTTCTATCATTGTTTTAGGTTATTTTAGTGTTTTAATTTTTGTTTTTTTTTACGAATTGGTCAAACTCAAAGAAAAAAATTTGTTTTCAATCGTTATGAGTCTACCGATTGAATAGAATTTTATTATAAACAATTGTCTTGTAAATGAATTTTTTAAAGCATTCTGAATGTAAAATAAAAGAAAAAGTGTGCAAGACAACAAGAAACACTACCTGCCAAAAAAAAAAAAGTTTTGTTTGAAATCGGTTATAAAATGTAGGAAATCCGATTCCATATATAAACGAACACACACACACAAACACACACACACACACACATATATAACACAACACACACATATAATAAGTATAACTTCTGATAACTCGATATTAATAAGTATAACTCGATATGAGTTGTCCCCAAGATTAATGCCTCTTAATCGTGTTTTCAAATTGATTTCGTATTAAACAATTTGTTTTTCCAATTTTGGCACTTCAGAACCACCGCAAGGTATATTTTTATTTTTCCTTAAAAGTTTTGTTGAAATATGAAAAAATTCCAACGTTTTTGATGGATATCATCAACATACGTAAAATTTTTTTCATTTTTCATTTCAGCTTTTGACAGTAAAAAATCTGATTTTAGCCAGAACCCTGTTATTTATATCTTATGGTGAAATTAATAATTATTACATGGAATCTTAACGTTTCTGTCTTTTTTTATTTATATATATATATATATATATATATATATATATATATATATAATATATATGTATGTAAATAAATGTGTATGTGTGTGTGTGTATATTACAAATTTCTTTTGAACTATTTATTTTAAGATATTATATATATATTAAATTTTATATATATATATATATATATATATATATTTTTTAGCTTTGTTTAACCAACATTGAGCAAACGTTTATATATTATATTAAATTAAACAAATTTAAGCTATTCTTTTATCATTTGGGTCTAAAATTTTTTCAATTTTTGTTTGCCTTTATATTTGATTTTTAACTCTAAAATATTCATATAAATTTGCCAACATGAATTCAAAAATAAAAGCATTTTGAATCATTTCCAAATTTTGGTAATCAAAAATTGCATCATAATGATCTTTTTATAAATACGGTAATTTATTCAACTATATCATTAAATCAAAATTATTTAATCATAAAAATCAATATTTAAAGTATAAAATGGCATATAAAATTTGTATCAAAATATATATATATATATATATATATATATATATATATATATATATATATAAAAAAATACAATAGGAAAACTGGTAATTGTGACGCGTTTCGTCCAATGTGGACTTTATCAAAGCAAAATAAAAAATGAAATTAAATGAACAAAAATAACTAAAAAAAAAAAAAAAAACTAATGTACCTAATTAACTCAATGTAGAAAAACGCTATTTTATTTATTTTTTTATATGAAAAATCTAACGTCAGTATTGTCACATGATGGAGAATATTGTCATTATATCTGTGTTGATGTATTCAACCATTTTCTTTCGATTTTAAAATCTAAAAAGATATTTGTTTGTAAAAGCATTAATTTTGTTAAGAAAGGTTAAATAGATTTAAGCCTTATAAAATTAATTAATTTGGATAATTTTCTATGGCTTAATTTCCAAATTTTCCTTCTGGAGTAATTTTCTTTTTTTTAAAGTGTATTGTTTTAAAATCAAAATTATGGTTGTATTTAATTTCTATATTTTTATTGCATTAGCTAAGTTGTTTTTTTAGGTCTAATTTTATGCTCAAAAATGCAAAATTTAATATCTATATGTTTCTAAATATCTTGGGAGGAAAGTTTTGAATAAAAGAGTTATTTTATAAATTCCTATTGTATTTCAGAAATATTATTTTTATTTTGTTTGAAACAACAGTATATTTAAATAATTTTGGTTTTGATGGTGGTGAAACCCAAAAATTTCAAATTATTTAGATTATGTAGGATAAATTGGAAAATTTCTAAAAGTTTGGTATTTCATTTTATTCCTACTGTTTTCATTTTATTTACTATTGCGGACATAGTTGTTATTCTTTTTAAATTCCAAAACAATAATTTTATTTGCCCAAACTTCTTGATAAAACATTGAACCTACAATAAACTTCATATTCGAAACTGAAACCAACTACACTCTTCCGTTCCTGGACATTTTGTTAATTTAAATAACAAAAACTCAATTTTGACGTTTACAGAAAGGCTACAAACAAAAATTTTCTCATTATATCTAAAAAACCTTTCTCCGTTTTAAATTAAATCTGGAATTATTATAGGTTTTTATCTAAGATTTTAAGAATCTGTAATCAATATTTATTTAAAGAAGAAATATACATAGAAAACACATTCAAAAACCTATAATATACCCATATCATTTTATCCAATATGCAAGAAGAAAGGCATACAAAAAATACAAACTAAAAAAAAACTAATAACATTCCGCAAATAGTAAATCACATGAAAACAGATACATAATACTACCGACCAATTCTGCCACGTCCACGATCCAGAATAACCTATCCCATCTAAATAATCTTGAAATAGTCACAAAACACCATTTAACCATTATAGGATATAATAAGATCTTCAAACAATAATAGCAATAATATTTCTGAAGCAGGCATTTATAAAATAAATTGCCAAAACTGTTCCTCCCAATATATTGGAGAAACAAGTAGAAATTTTTTTCTGCGCATTTATGAGCACAAAAGAGACCTCACAAAAAAAAAACTTAGCTAATGCAAAGTCATACATAGAAATAAATTCAACCATAATTTTGATTTTAAAAATGCTACACTCATAAAAAAAGAAAATAACTCACTCAGAAGGAAAATTCTGGAGAGTGCCGTCATAGAAAATTACCCAAATATTAATCTACGCCCAGGCTTTTTTCCTATTTCACCTTTCTTAACAAAATTAATGCTTTTACAAACAAATATACACAACAGATTCATAAAATCAAAAGAAAATGGTTGAATACATCAACACAGATATAATGACAATATTCTCCACACGTGACAAATAAAAGACGTTATTTTTCATTTAAAAATATGAAAATAGCGTTTCTCTACATTCCAGTTGCTAGGTACATTCTGTTTTTGTTTTTATTAGTTACTTTGTTCATTTAATTTCATTTTTCGTATTTTGCTTTGATAAAGTCCACATTGGACGAAACGCGTCAGCAATTACCAGTTTTCCTATTGTCATTTTTATTCATAAATATATATATATATATATATATAAATATATATATATATATATATATATATATATATATATATATATATTTATATATATATATATATATATTTAAAAAATTTAAATTTTTATTTTAATTTTATGATCATATTTGATAAACTGATTTTTTTAAAAAAAATGACTATTTTTTTATTTAATTTTATAAAAAATTGAAAAATTATCCCAATTTTTTTATATTGAAATATATATATATATATATATATATATATATATATATATATATATGAAGATATTTTTCAAAAACTGGAGTCTTTTTATATGCTTAACGGTGTATTTTATAATTTTTAAATACATATCAAAATTATCATATATATGACATATATATATATATATATATATATATATATATATATATATATATATATATAAAAAGGATTTTAAAGTTTAAATATTGATGAATGTCAAAAATTGCAGAATATATAAAATTTGATTATCCTTTATTTAGAATTTTCTAAAAAATAATTATTCATTAAAATCTTTGTCTTGTTGCATTTTGTTAATTTAAAAACATATGATTATATAATATATATATATATATTTATATCTTATAATAATAAATATAAAGATAGTTTTAGATTTTTATAAAAAATATATATATATAATATATATATATATAAATATATATATTTAATATATTTTGTCGTGTTTTGTGCTGTGTGTTTTATGAAAATTTGTTTATCATTATGATTATTCTTTATATTAAAATTTTCTTTTTATTATTTTGATTTATTTAGAATATTCATTTATAATAAATATATTAAAATATTTAAATATTATTTTATTTTAATTTTTCAATTTACATTTTTAATTTGATGAAAATAATAAAAAATTTATTGAAATAAAAAATATAATTTATATTTAATATATATAATAGATATTTTTTATAAATTGAAATTTTTATTATTTTATATATAATATATATAAATAAATATATATTAAATATATATATATATATTTATATATATATATATTTTACATATTTATATATTTTTATAAAATGAAATAAAAAATTTATATATTTATATGAAAATATTTATAAAATTTTCATTTTAGAATTATCAAATTCAAAAAAGATAATTTTAATTTTTTTCCATTTTAATTTATTGCGTGTAAATTTTATATAAATTTATCATTATTTTTAAATTTTTTCATTTTAAAAAATAATGATTTATTTTTTATAGATTGGTTAGTATGATAAAAATTCGTTGTTAATGTGTCATCGAAATTTAAATATATTTATTTCAATTTGAACATATTATTACTATGATTGTTTTTAAAAAAATATAAATCTATATTGAGCGTTATACTATATAAAATATATATATATTGTATATTTATAATGACTTTTTTTTTTATATCATTCAGTACTACCTAAAATAATATTTATTTTTTTCTTTTTTTCTTAAATAAATGATTGACCAAAAAGAAATAAGAATGATTATTAAGATATATTTATTTTGACTGGAAATTATTTTGTTATATTCCTGTCAATGAATTCAGTATGTTAAAATTAATAAAATTGATCTTTCAATAAAAAATATTTTATAGAAAAAAAGTTTATTAGAAAAATGAACTGTATAATTGTTTCTTTTAATTTCAAACTTAAATAGAGAAAAAGAGCCTTATTAAAATTTTTTCTTCTTTTCAGTTAAGTCGTGTTAAATTATCCTTTGTCTTGTAATGGTACTTAATAAAAAAATTTAAGTGATATATATGAAATCTATATATTTATATATATATAATTATTATTAAGATTAAATAGATAGATAAAATTTAACGGTATTAAATTATTTCATTTAATTTAAAATTTATATTCATATAAAATAATAAATAATAAAAAAAATATTTTTGCTATTTAGATATTAATAATTTTTACGAAATATATATCTTATATAAATAGATAAATACTGAAATGCTTATAAATTTTAAATTAATTTAATTTAAAAAAAACCATATTTATAAATAAAAATATTTATAAATTTACATAGATTTAAAATTTTTTTTACATTTAAGAGAAGAATGAATATTTAAAAATGAAAGATGTAATATATAACAACATATGTAAATTAAAATTAATTTAAATTTTAATATATACTATATTTGATAGATATATATATATATAATGATAACTGAAATATTTATAACAGAATATTTTTTAGAAATGTACAGATTCAATAGAAAATATAAATTTATTGTATTTATGATTGAATTAATTTTTGATTTAAACAATAGATAGAAGAATTTTTAATAAATAGATAACCTAAATAGATTTTATTTACAAGAAAAGATTTGATTTTATAATATTACATGGTTGAATAAGGAACAGATGAATGGAAATAGGTATGCATCAAATCAATGTTATAACATTCTTATTGGGTTAAAAATAAAAAATTATTTTATTCGTTGAAATTTTAATAGTTTTTAGATATTTATATGAAATATTGATCAGATAGAAAAGATATCGTTTTTTGAATGATTGGTTTTTTTTTTGATATTATTTAAGGAAAAAATAAATAGATTTATATAAAAATAGAAAATAATGAAATTATATGAAATAAAAATTTTCTCCTTCATTGACTTAATTTTGAATGAGATAAAAGAATTTTATAATAGATAAATAGATATTGAACATCTCTGTAGATAGATAGTTAAATTATTAAAAAATAGATTCGTTTAAATCGTTTCATACTATAAATAAATATAAAAGAATTATTTTTATTAAAATAAAATGATTTGCTCTTTTTAATTTAACGGTGAAGATGAATGAAAAGATTTAAAACATGCAAATATATTATTTATAAATATATATATATTTTGTTATATATTATAGATATTGAATTATATATATATATATATTTAAAAATAAATGATAGGAGATAAATTTTTTTTTGAGATTGAAAGATAGAAAGATAAATTATCGTTTTGCAAAAAAAATTAAAGATTCCAAATAGATTATTGAAAGAAGAATTTATTTTCTAAACATTTTTAAATATAGGATATATCTGTTTGTTTTTAAAATAATAATTCAGTCTCAAAAAAAGAAAAAAGACACTGAGATAGAACGAACAAAATGAATATTTGAAAAAAAAAAGATTTTGGATTAAATACGAATAATAAATTTCCAAAGATCATTTTTTTTTATTTTTAGAAAATAAAATTTTCATTTTTCTGTCTTCGAAAATTGTAAAATTCTTCCAAAGATTGATAATTTATTTTATAAAAATTCTTGTCAAAAAAAATATAGTTCTTGCAATATACTTGATTATGTTTAAAAAAAATAACAATATTTGAGAAAGAAATTGAATAAAAATAATTTTAAGATAAAATAAAATAGAAAACGAAATAATACCGATAAATATAGATATAAATTATACACATTTTAAAATAATAAATAAATAGATAATGCATTAAAAATAGAATAGATAGATTTATAGAAAATAGATAGATATTTAATAAATAATAATGATACAAATAACAGATTGATAGATAGATAGATAGAAAAATAGATAAAATATTATATGAACAGACCTTGAAATGAAAGAAAGACAGATATAAAATGTTGCCGAATCCCTGACAATATTTTTTAGATAGATAGATAGATAGATAGATAGATATTTATAGATTTAATATAGATTGAATTCGACTCAAAAGGGGAAAATGAACAATATGAAAGGAAAACAGATAGATAGATAGATAGATAATAGATAGATAGCCAT